CACTATGGAGAACAGTGTGGAGATTTCTTAAAAAACTGGAATAGAACTGCCATATGACCCAGCAATCCCACTCCTGGGCATACACACTGAGGAAACCAGATCTGAAAGAGACACGTGTACCCCAATGTTCATCGCAGCACTGTTTACAATAGATAGGAAACGGAAGCCACCTAGGTGCCCATCAGCAGACGAATGGAAAAGAAAGTTGTGGTACATATACACAGTGGAATATTACTCGGCTACTAAAAAGAACACATTTGAATCAGTTCTAATGAGGTGGATGAAACTGGAGCCTATTATACAGAGTGAAGCAAGTCAGAAAGAAAAACACCAATACAGTATATTAACACATATAATACAGAATTTAGAAAGACAGTAACAACGACTCTATATGCAAGACAGCAAAAGAGACACAGATATAAAGAACAGACTTTTGGACTCTGTGAGAGAAGGCAAGGATGGGATGATTTGAGAGAACAGCACTGAAACATGTATATTACCATATGTGAAACAGTTGACCAGTCCAAGTTCAATGCATGAAACAGGGCACTCAAAGTCAGTGCACTGGGACAGCCCAGAGGGTTGGGAGGGATGGGGCATGTATACCCGTGGCTGATTCATGTCACTGTATGGTAAAAACCACCACAATGTTGTAAAGTAATTAGCCTCCAATTAAAATAAATTAATTAATTAAAAAAATTTTAATAGGATAATTCTGCCACTTACTTGGCAAAATGTGACTTTAGCAAGCTATTTAATCTCTATTGGTGATAGTTTTTTTAAATCTTAACATGCTAAGTTCAATATACATGTAATCTAGTAAAATAGAATGTTTCACTCTATCTTTAAAACTCAAAAAAAAAAAAAAAAAGAATCTGTCAATGACAAATGGGACTCTGGCAGAAGCAGCCAGTTAGCTAGTGAAAAGAAAACTAACAAAAAAAACAAAAAAAAAAAGAAAACTGACAAGACATTTTAAAAGAAAAATCCCTGGAAAATGGGAAGGGCCTCAAATATTTTTAAAATTCAATGTTTGACATTACTATGAAAAATCAAATGTATGCATATGTAGGGACGGGGGTATATGAGAACTCTGCACTTTCTGCTCAGTTTTGCTCTGAACCTAAATCTGCTCTAAAGAAAAGTATGTTAATTTAAAACAAAACAAAAACATGAAAAATAACTCATCATACAACTTTAGCAGAAAAATTCATGTCTCCAAAATCAATTAATTCATTTATTTTGCTTTTCCCTATAAACAATCAACTTTCTCACTACAAAATTTAGGGTCCTGTTTTGAGTGCGGCCATTTAATAACAAACTTTTTTCTATCACTTTCTCTAACTGGTTCTCACTGATGAAAGTGGCAATTTGCCAAGATTTCAAGATTCTTTTACAAATAAAAAGCTTATCTTTATTGTGTATTTCACAATTTCAATACTCAGATATTCTGTTAAATACATCATATTAATAGACAACTGAGATTTAGTGGTTAAAATTTTCTTCTTTCTTCTCCAACAGAGAGATGATGTGAATTTGGGTGTTCCTGTGGTCACGAATTACTTTCCAGAAGAGGAGGTTAATATATTTGATAATGTATATCTTGACTAAACAAGTTCCCAGTGGTTATATAATCTAATTAAATACATGATTCAGTTTAATCCAATTCCTACCTAGTAAGGCCACATAATATTCTTAATAATAATTAACCATGGGAACTACAGTTTAATTAGCAAATGAAATGATTCTCAGTGTAATACAATCATTTCATTATAAAACAGCAGAAAATTGTAACATTTTCACTGAAACAAAGCATCTAAATTTGTTCCATAATACTGCAAATTCACATATTCTAAAATAAAAATTCTACTTAAAAAAAAAAGAAAAGAAACACAAAAGAAAGAAATGACCGAAATTTGTGTTTAATATTTTGCTTTTATGAAACAGTCTGCTGCTAATTTTTAGGTTTGAAAAGCCATTTCTAGTCTACACTCCCACTCTCCAGAAGAGGACTCCAAAGCTAAGAGAGGTTAAGCAAGACCAAGATGGCAACAGCAGCGAAGCCAGGTACAGATAAACCTCTTTTGCCTAGACTTCACTGCCTCTCAGGAAAAGTCCAGGAGGACAAGGGAGAAAAAGCAAACTTCAGATTACCCTTCTTTAACTCCTTTTATTCTCCACATGGGCCAAACCAATTATTTACAGATATCTTTTGCTCGGTGTCCAGGATGTGTCTTGACAGCTGTGTTCCAAAGACCATTAGTTTGTACCTCTTTTCTCTAATTTGTTTCCTTGCTTCTTAAAAACTAGTCCCCTGATGTATTATGTCACACAATCTCTCCTCAGCAAGCAATACTAATACTTTAAGCTGTCTGGACAAGAGATCTTGAATTATATCACGAGGACAATTTCTAAAATACACAGAAATAACTTTTCTTCATAGATAACTGCTAAACAGACCTGCAAGTCTTAAGAAGGATTGAAAGAGAATTATAGCCATCAAAATAAAACAGAAAGTAAAAAAAAAAATTAGAGGGGAGAGTCTGAGCATCTCCTGACCGAGAACTCTACCCAGTCCTGAAACACCCAGATTGGGGATGTACTGGTCAGGGATCCAATCCCAGTGTCCCTGGACAGTATTTACATTCTGGGCTTCTTTGGGAATGCACTTGATCTGGGCAACTATTTCCAGTACTTTACAAACTGCTCCAACAGTCCTTGTAGAAAGATACACACTGGCTTAATTTAGGCTTTACAGGATTAAAAAAAAATAAAAATCATACCAGAGCAGGAATGTTTCTCAGGAATTATTTAGTCCATCTCCCTAACTTCTCTCACACACATACTGACACACATGATTAAAGTAATTTGCCCACAGTCACAGAGCCAGTGGGAGAAATTAGATTTTATTTTCATTACTACTTTCCATTTTTCTACGAGGTACTACATATGGTCACTACCAAGGCAACTGCCAGCTATCATCACATGTTTTGGCCTCATGTAGATGTAAACTTGTGCAACACACACAAGGCTTAAAAAACAAGCACAACTATAAGCAGGTCACCTTAACACGACTTAGGAGAAAAAAATACACCCAGGATTACAACATGTCCCACCAAGTTCAAAATGTCATAGCGCGATCCCAAGAATCAGCTTACAGAATTTAAACAACGTTCCAAACTAAAATTCTAATAGCACTTCTTCCTGGTTAATTAAGAGATAAATGGTTTGAGGTTTGTAGGTTATTAAGCCATATAACTGTAATCTTGTCCTAAACACCAAGGACTGTTCTCCACTGTATTTTTAGCTCTTTCCAGGTAAAGATACGTAATAAGCCCAAAACAATAAATATCCTGGTGTTAATTTGCCAAGCTTAGTAATAATAAAAATGTCAGAAGAAAGTGCTTAACTATGCCTGTGTAGATTCTCAATATATCCAAACCTGATACAAATTCACACACTCATCTATTTATACATCCTGATTCTAAAAGGAGCTGTTTGTGTCCCACAAAATGGTTATTCTCTGAAAAATCTTAATCTAAGTGATTAAAATGAGGAATTACTGGAACAAAATAACTTTATTTTTACAGTACCCAAGTAACAAAAAAACCTAGGAAGCTTTTAAAAACTGTGACTTTTAATCATTTATAAAACATTCTTTTGTTGTGACTAAAAGTGGTTCTTCTCCCTGCCACAAACTTCTTTACACTCTAATCAAGAGAAGAGTTGTTAACCTTGACATTTTATGGTCACTCTTTGAAAAGGGCAAACTAACTGTTTTAGTTTTGCTCCTTAATTTAAAAAGTAATTATTCGTACCACCACAGCCATTTAGGAATGAGAAATTTGTCAGAGGCTCCCTAATAATCGGAAGATAAGAATCATCCTGTGAGGAAATGTAGAGAAGACTATTGCATTACAAAACCCTGAGTCATCACCCAGTTCACTCAGCAAATTTGGGTAAACACTGGATAACTGACATGTCTTGTATGTTCACCCATCCATACCCACAAGCGTGAACATACAATATTACCGGATTTTATGTACAGTTAACCAAAGAAGATACAGCAAAATTCTCTTTTAAAAAAGTTCTTCTGACACAGTGAAGATTCCCACCTAGCAAATAAAGTCTCTAACCTTTCCCCCAATTGTATTTTACTTTGTTTACAGACAGATTATGTGCCCCCCGCTAAAAAGTAACATAGAACCGAAACTGATTTAAGTAATCTATATTCATCTAAACAGCTCATAAACTAACACAAGCCCAATACTAATCACGCCCAGAACAACCTGACAGCTCTCTTCTCTATTTTCCTTAGTATCGCACATTCACACAAGAGTAACACACACTTTTCCCGAGGTTCTCAAACTCGGCTTTCTCAACATCAACGTCTGGTACACAGCCCAAGAACGCGCTGAGGGCTGATTTTAAATCAATCTTTTCAAGTAAACCCACAAAGCCTGAGAAGGCCCCCAAAAGCAGAACCTACAAGTTCCCTACGGCCTCCTTCCCATTCAGAAAGTTATCGGACACGAATTGAGACACAGGAAGACGCAGGGAACCGTAGGGGGAGAAAGAACCGGAGGCAACACCAGGAAAAGTCAAAAGTTGTTCGCTCGAATCCTCTCTGCTCCCTCCCGCCACCGGCAAAGGTCCAAGAAGGACCCTAGGGGGACCGCTCATCTCTTTCCCTGGGGGTCCAGTGCCCTTCCGGCTCCCTGGGGCCCCGAATATCCGAAGACAGTAACCCGAAACCTTGGGGAGAAACACCTGCGAAGGACGTAGCGGGCTGGTGAGGACCGGGGAGATCCCGTGGGAAAGTGGCATGGAGGCTCGAGTCGCGACCCTGGGGCTTACTGCAACGAAACGATCCGCCCGAACCGGGGCAGAGTTGGGGACAGTCCAGCGGTCCGCTGCGGACAAAGAGCCTCCCCCAGACCGCGGACGCCCTCACATCGAGTCTTTGCCTCCGGCCATCCTGCAAGCCCTGGTACACTCACGTGGAGAGTTTCCTGGTCCAGAAGAGGCCCCCAGGCCACAGCTCTTGGAGCTGCACCGCCCGGCCCAAGTTCCTTTTGATCTGGGCCAGCTGCAAGTCGGACTCGGCGTCCAGCCGCTCGGCGTAGGGCAGCAGCTTGTTGTAGACGATCTCCTTCTGCGGGACGAAGCCTTGGGGGTCCGGACCCGGAGGCCCGCCCGGCTCCAGGGGATCCCTGCCGCCCGCCCGTTCGGCCGGCTCCATGAGACCAGGAACAGCCCCCTAACCCCCTCCCACCCTATCCCTCCCCGGCCCCCACCCCTCTCCGGGCTCCGCCTCCTCCGCGTCGTCGTCGCCTTGCGGCCGCCGGCGGCCCCTCACCCTCGGCCCGATCGCTGGGCCCCCTCCCCTGGCCGGCGCGCTGCTGTCCCCGCGCGGTCCCGGGTTCGTTGGCGGCTGCAGCGGCCGCTCCGCCCGCCCCGCACCGGCTCGGCTGGTGACGCTGCACCGCCCGGCCCGGAGTTTCCGGATGGGCCTCAGGTCACTTCCGGGGCGGGGCGGGGCGGGGCGACGGCGAGGGGGGAGGAGGCAGTGGCGGTGGCGGCGGCGGCGGCGGCGGCGGCGGCGGCGGGGGCGGCGGGCACCCTGGGTGCCGCGCCTTCCTCGCCGTGGGCCGGGCTCGGAGCCCCCACCCCCAGATCTCACCGGCTGAGCGCGAGGCTGTCCTACCGGAAACACGAGGCCGAGTTCCAAGCTATTGTCCTTCCTTGGCGTGGGGTCGCGCGCGCTTCCTGCGGCTGCCTCGCGAGCCTGTAGTCGCCGTGGCCTCGGTCGAGGCAAACAGACGAGGTAGTGCCCCACGCCGTTTATGGAAAAACCTAGGTACTCCGTCCATGCCACTTGTTGCTTATAGGTTTTTTACCTTGTCCCCTCTAAACTCTCGTCTTTCTGGCGTTCTTCTGACCGTCCTCATTTCAGAAAAAGGAATTCAATAAATATTTAACAAACATTAATTGACCTACTACTGTGTATCAAACACTCCTTTTAGGCCCTTGAGGTGCAAAGTTTCAGAACACCTGGTTTCTGCCTTCCAAGGACTTTACAGTAATGCGGAACTGTTGACTAAGGAGTAAGCAATTACAAAACAGCCCTTAATTGCTAGATAAGTAAAGGATGTCTTGAGAACATCTAAAGAGGACTTCAGACAGAACGGGGTGTCAGATAGTTTATAGAAATGATACCTCAAGTTGAGCTTAAGGATTGGGTGCAAAATTTGTTAGAAGAAAAAACAGCGTTCAAGAGGGAAGGGACATATACCTATGGCTGATTCATGTTGATGTTTGGCAGAAACGAACACAATTATTCAAAGCAATTATCATTTAATTAAATAAGCAATTTTTTTTTTTAACAGCTGAGGAAACAGCCCAGACTGCAACCTTGCATTCTAGGAATTCAAAGTTCAGAATCAAGATTGCTTGCAGAGAGAGGAGTGAAGAATGAGACTTCGAAGGACATGCTAAGGAGTTTATAGAATTTTATCTTAAAGGCAACAAGAAGCTGAAAATTTTTAAGCGTAAAAGTGGCATGGTATAATTTACATTTCTGAAGAATCACTCTGATTTTGTGTGGAGATGGATTAGAACAGACAGGGCTGGAAACTGGCAGATCCCTTAAGGAGATGTGACATAATGGTGGGCTGCAAGTTGGTTGAAATGATTGAAGAGCTATTTCAGCAAGAATGGCTTGAGTTTGGTAGGTGATAGGATATGAAGAGTGAAACTGGGAAGAAGTCAGGATGGTGTCAGATTTTTGGCTTGGGAAACATAAAAGCACAGCAGAAACAGCAATGGAGGCAGAATGCCTAAGGAATGGAAAAATATTTTCATGTATGGATCAGGAGGGTCATCTAAAAGGGGATATAGCATATAGGTGAATTGGAGGACATGAGATATAGAGTACTGTTAAAAGATAAATGTAGGCACAGTAAAAATTTTAAGAGTTTACATGAGCAAAAATTGATTGGAATTGGGCAACACCAGGGACAGAAGCCAGGGAATGACCTATAAATTGTAGAAGCAAAGGAAGGAAATTATTTGATTGGCTACAGCTGAAAGCCTAGTTAGCTATCTTTGATTGTTGTCTTTAGTGCTTAGATTTCATAATCTTGAGGCATTTACACACTTAGGCTTTGGTTTGCGTACATAGCCCACCAAGGCATTAGAGACACCTTGGTCTAATGGCCTCCTTGTTTAATTAATTTAATAGAATGAATGGAATAGAGCCCTTGACCACAGTCTAAGGAACTCCATGTTTAGAGATGGATAGAGGAGAGAGACTACAAAGAATACTCACAAGAAGCAGTCTGAGAGGTAGGTGTTGTAGGAAAGTGAGCTTTTTAAGAAACTGTTTCAGATAGAGGAATTGGTTAATAATAGCAAAGGTAGCTGGGAGGTAAAATGAAATGAGATCAGAGAATGGCTTATTGGAGTTATTGATAAAGCAGATAAGAACAGTTTCAGTGGAGTCTAGGAATGGAAAACAGATTGCAGTGATAAAGGATGAATGGGAAGTAAATAGAGATAGCCAAGGTGGACAACATTTTTTGATAGTTTGGGTGGGAAGAACACGAGAAAGATAAGAAAGTAGCTGGAATGAAAAGAATTTTTGAAAGTGGATTGTTTTGAAATACTGATGGGAAGGCACCAGTGGGGAGAGAGATTGAAAATAACGTGGGTGAAGATGCAGAGTGGGAGAGAGCATGGAGTCACTGGCCTTTAGCAGTAAACCATCCTCTCCTGTTAGAGGAGGAAAACAGGTGCAGAGGCAGAGGGGTTTGCAGATTTGGTGCCTGGAAGTTGGGGGTCTTTCTGGTGGTTTCTCTTTATTTTTGGTGAAGCAAGAGAATGACAATGATGGGAGGAAGTGGTGGGTAGGAGATTTGAGGAGATGGGAAAAGGGTTTAGAGTCGTCTTAGAATTCAGAAAATTGACTAAAGAAACAGAATTGCTTGGCAGTTAAGGCTGGAAGCATGAATTTACCATTATCTGACTGCACAACCTAGTGACTCTATTAGTGACCTATTATTTCTCCAATAATGTTTTAACAGCCCAGGATTATATGCTATACAGGCTGATATGATCGAATGACAAGCAAGAGGTTATATATGTTAGCAGTAGTGATGGTAGTGGTTTTAGCTATCATTTCTTGAGCACTTCCCTCAGCCTGTGCTTTATCCTCTTTATCTCATTGAATAAGCAGACATCTTGAAGTTGAGAATATTTGAAAGAAAATGGTTAGCATCTAAATTGGTTGAAGTCTAAGAAGAGAGAAGAGGTGAAACAGCAGTTCCAGGTGATCTCAGTTTCCCTGGGAATGGATGTCTGAACTGGAAAAATCAAAAGAATTACTGGAGCAAAAAAGATGAAGTCCCTGTTATCCTATGTGAAGTTTAATAGAAAACACCATTCAGACTCCTTCAGGTGAGAAAGGTAGGAGACGTTAAGTTTCTCCAGAAGACCAAGGCTACTCATCATTAGAGATGGTATGCAAAATCTGGAGTTAATTTTCTCTTCTCAGACCAACTCCCAAGCATTTTTTATCTCATAGAGCTGAGGATACTCTGCCAAAGGATAACAACTCAGTATGCTTTCAGTCAGACCTTCCACAGAGGGAGACTCTTGACTTCTTATCAGACTCCTCTAGGAAACAGACTGTGATCACTTTTCTTGGAAGACCTTGAAAGTACAGTAGCCCTTCATGAAAAACATTCTAAAGAGAGAGGCTTCCCCTCAAGCCAGAGGATTTGGCAGGGATAATTATCATCAGATATTTATGACATGGATGTACTTGCTGGCCCACTACATGATCAGTCACTTACTAGTGAACAAAAATGACAGTTCGTTAGTTCCATGCCTTCTCCTGCCTTGGTTTTTTCTGTATATGATGTATTTGGGACCGGGGGCAGGGGTATTTTGACAGGTATTAATAGATGAATCTCTGTTTTCAGAGCATAATATTTAGAAATATTTGAATTCTATTAGAAACATTCTAATCAATTATCTAAACTCCTGTCGTGCAACAGTTATTAAAGTCACAAGATTATTGGATCTGAGAAATGAGGGTTTTTCCCCCCCTAGTTCCTATATGATTTTTAAGTTCTGAATTTTTCAACCAAAAACCCTCTCATCCAGCCATAGTACCCATTTTACCAATTAAACTAGAGTATATTTAGAGCTCAACTCTTAATAAGAAGGGAATCACAGCTAACAATGAATTTTCTGTGATTATTTTAGTTTTTCTGTTTCTTGGACATTTTACCATTTTACTACAGTGAAGCTAGCTGTAGTTTTTTGTGTGTGTGTGTTTTTAATTTATCTTGCTGTGGATTTGTTTCGTAAAAGATTCTTGTGATTTACCAGTCATGCAAAATTTTCAGCTATTTGCACAATCGTTTTGTTCCTCTTCTCTCCTTATAGAATTCCATTAGACCTGTGTTGTACTTTCTCATTCTGGTGTTGAATTTCTTACTCAATATTTTGCAAGTCTTTGGCTCTCTACCTCATTCCAGATAACATTATCATATCTATTACTTATAATTCTTGCAACTTAGTTGACTTGTTTTTTATTATTTATTTTATTTTGGCTGTGCTGGGTCTTCATTGCGATGCACAAGCTTCTGGTTACAGTGAGCAGGCTTCTCTTGTCTCTCGTTGCAGAGCAGAGCCTGGAGAGCCTGGTGGCTTCAGTTGCTTTGCATGGGCTCTGTAGTTGTGGCACACGGTCTATTGCCCCAAGGCACATGGGATCTTAGTTACCAGACAAGAGATCAAATCTGCGTCCCCTGCCTTGGAAAGCAGATTCTTAACCACTGGACCACCTGAGATGTCCCAAACTTGGTTCATTTATATTGATCTGCAGTTTAACTTGTCCATTGAGCTTCTAATTCCAAAGATTATGTTTTAAAGTTTGGCATTTCTACTAAGTTCGCTTTCAGGTATCCTATTTTGTTTTTCATCGAGTTTTGTTCTTTATGGTTCCAATGACTACTTTGGAACCATGACTACTTTGAACTACTTTATGGTTCCAGTGACTAGCTTCCCTGGAAGCTCAGACGGTAAAGCATCTGCCTGCAATGCAGGAGACCTGGGTTCAATCCCTGGGTTGGGAAGATCCCCTGAAAAAGGAAATGGCAGCCCACTCCAGTACTCTTGCCTGGAAAATTCCATGGATGGAGGAGCCTGGTAGGCTACAGTCCATGAGATTGC